GAAGTCGTGTGATTTAACAACAGATAGAGTTGATTTTAAAAAATGTATGTGTAATTAGATGCATAATTCTTATGCATAATTTACATGCAATTATGTATGAAAATGAGATATGCACAGGCATAAATGGCTAGCTAAGCACCTCACACACAATCACAGTAATTTTGCACAGAAATTAAACATGCAGTTGAAAACACATTTTAAAAAAATTAAGTCCATAAGGAGTCCAATGGCTTTTGTGAGGAGGAAAAATTTGAATCTTTTCTGAACAGAAATTATGTTAAATCCTCAGTCAGAAAGGGGGGAGTAAACAGTATAGAAGTGAATAAAAATATAATTTAATATAAACCAGTTTATGTTCAGTTGTGGTAGAAGAAGCAGAACCAAACATACTTGATCATTTTTATGAAGTGTCAATCTCACCAGTGTAAATTTAGTACAATCCAGAGTAAACAGTGGTGTCAAGCTGCATCACTGCTCTTCCCCTCTATCTCTCCTCCCTGGGAGGTCATTTAGGTTGAAGGTTTGGGGGGCAGTCTCAGGGGTTTCTGGCAGCTCTTTGAACACTGTTAGTTGCTTTCTCCCTTAGGCTAGATCTTCTCTTGAGGAGGAAAAGCTAGCTGGACCATTCCCTATGCACTAAGTAAATAATCTGTTATTTTTCTTGCCATGGCTAGAAGGCTTGGTCACAGATCAGAGCTATTATGCTTACTATGATGCCAGCAAAGAGGTGGTTCATGCCCCAAAATGCTTACAGTCCTAAAAATAAAATAAAGTAAAAAAAACCCCACAGAGTTTTGGTCAAATTTTTACTGATTATTGTTTTCACAACACTCTAACAACGTCTGAACTTTGCTATTGCACCCCAGATACCTAAAGCAACAAAATATTCAGTTCAGGCACATTAATATAAATCTCCAAAATACCTGCTAAAAAAAGGGTTGTATTGTGAAACTTTTGGTAATGATTTTATTGACAACATTTAACTTATTTTTACAGTAAAAGCAGTAATGTTTGGTTTTTTTACTTTTCAGCATTTATTCTTTTAGTCTTAAATTATCTTATAAAGAACGTTCAAGAATCTCTCTTAATAACGCATTACAGTGTATATTTAAAATTAACAAATTAAATATTTATTATCTGACCTTTTAATATATGTCTTTCCAATGACATTTGGGAAAAATATTTTACTTATTCTTGAATACAGTAATTTGAATCCAATTGCAATCAGAATTTTACTGTTTCACTAAAGAGCATGGTTAAGGTCCTTAGGGTACCTGAACCATGTATACCCTGTTTAAAGTAAATGACTGTTCAGTTAGGCATTCTAATGATCGTAATATGTGCTTACAATTCATAACATTTGAATTATTTTGAATTTAATTTAAGCTCTGCAATTCCTACACCTATCTTGTCTGTTTTCCCTTGTTGTTTGTATTTCAGATAAACAGCTTCCACTTTTGAACAGAAAACAGTGATGTTGCAAATGCAACATTCTTTTTTTTCCCCCCCCTTTTCATTGTCTTCTTTCCTTTAACCTAACCTTTTTTCTCCATATTTAGGAAAGTTAATGTATTCTGAATAGTTACACAACATGGAGGGGAAAAAAACCTGTAGATTTATATAATTTACTCCTTTTCCATACAGAAAGTGTACACTTTTTTCCAGCTAAACCAAGGCACACTTCTTCCTTGAGGATGTAGTTCTGTAGTGGGAGCACTGATAAAGTGCACTGTCTCAGTAGGATGTGTCTGAAGGAGAGTGTTCTGCAGGCAGGGAGAGAGGCTATGGCTAATCTACGTTTGGCAAAGACAGTGCTGGTAAAAACTTTTGTTGCCTTATAATAAAAGAATTACACAGTGCATGCCTCTGCCCAGGATGGAAAGGAACAAGGACCTCCGTACTTAGATCTTAATGTTGTAGTATTTCAGCACCTTAAGAACTTAAGTATGTTCATTCTTTCAGCTCCCTTTTGAGGTCAGGCTCCGTGGCCCAGGGTGACAGTGCTATTTCTGTGTTCTCCGGAGGGCTACGGAGTAGGATTGAGTTGAACTGTGGATTCCCCATTCTTCCTTCTTCCCTCCGAATCTCTTCTATATGTGTCCCTGTTATCAGAACAAAGCACTGGCCTCAGATGTTCACGGCCTCTTAAAAATGTATTCTCAAAGGTATTGGTTACCTTCAGCTCCTGTTCCCTGCTGTTGTCACTTCTAACAAAATCTTTTTGCCTTGTGATCAGTTGTTCTGCTTGATTAAACTGTACTCCTGACACTGATTCAAAATGAGTCTGCGCAGAACACAGATCTGAAATAAATATGTATGATCTTCTAAATCAGTGGTTCTCAACCTTTTTGAAGTTGAGTGGCACTTGAGAAAATTGGGTGTGCTCTGTACCTCGCTGAGGTCAGCTCTGAACACACGCGGAGCTGTCACCTTGCTCTTTTGTGAAGTGCTTATGTACTTGCTGGCTTTATGGAAATTATAGTAAATCTGCCTGTAATGTGATTGGCTACGTCATTCAGTGCTGTGTATTGTTCTGCAACCAGTCCATGAGGGATGATCTGTTTACTAGGATTTCCTGTGGGAGAATACGTGTTCTTGGGTGTAGTACAGGAATAGTAAGTCCTGTACTTACTGCAGAAGTATTGGATATATTACACCTGTGAGATGCAGTGGTGCATTTCATGAGTAGTTAATCTGTCCCATAAATCCTGGAATTTCTTTGTATCCGTTGTAAAGGAGAAACTGTTTGGTTTTGGTTTTTTGGGGTTTTCCTTCCTGGATAACATATGTGTAATGGTGTAAATCTTATAGTTTATGGACATGCCTTACTGTGTATGGCCGTGTGCACGTATGTGAGTCTTTCCTATGCTTTGCCAGCAGGTACATCATGACTCTGTTACATGTGCTGTGAATGTGATGTTTTCCAGCAAACCCATGATACATGTGATGCATGGCTGATTCTTACATGTGCAGTTCTGTTCAGGATTTTTTCATATACAGCAGCCTAGAGAGAGCTACTAAAGTCCTGAAGCTGGAAATTTGGCTAAAATTTTGTGGCAAAAAGAAGACAGTCAATATTAACCAAAGAACCTAGAAATACAGTGGCTTTACCTAAGTAAGAAACCCAAACCAAATCAACAACAACAAAAAAGCAACCCACCAAACAAAACATTTTCAGGTCTTCTTCATCTGGTCAAGGAAGGAAGGGGAAGGAGGGCACAAAGGTGAAGGGAAATCCAGCTGCTTGAAGACAGAGGAATGTAGTGTGGGACATCTGAAAACATAGGACTCACTTCTGAATAGAGACTGAAGTGCTTGCATTAAAGCTACTGGTGCTCCAGGAGGATTAATTAGTCTACACCAAATTAACCCTATATCTTAACACACACTCAAGCTAATGAGCCTGCTCACCTTCAGTCCCTGGATTGCTGCCTTTTCCCTGGTTTTCCGAAGTGGGAACTACTGCCTGGCAGCCTTCCTTAGAGCCATGCACCAGCACTGTTTGTGAGCTGCCATTGCCTTGTACCTGAGGCAAAGGTCAGAGTGACAAACCCCATTATCCTCTGCTGATTCATTCCAGGTATGCTCAGGAGCATCTGCAGCCCCCTCTCTGACAGCCTGGAGATACTTGCACTGAGATAGTTCACAGTAAGATCTACATCATGTTGCCCATGTAATGGGATTACTTGGCACAGGCTGGCATGTATTCTGCTTTCTGTCCTCTTTGCATTCCTGATGGTTTTTTGTTTTCACCAATGCCTTGGCAGTCTTTGATAGTATAACGGTTTCTTTTACATGTGATACTTCTAAGCTTGTGTTTATTTTGTAACTGTGAAAGTTATCAAAAGGTTAGTCAGATTTTGGTAAGAGGCTGTTACAGTAAAAGATGTTTACATGCAGATTTCTCTTTTTATTTAATGTGTTCACAGAAATGTAGCAAATTTATAAAAAGTGTATACTCTTCCGTTGAAGAGCTTTTTATGTTTTAGATGTAGATAAAATGTATTAAAAGAGGGTATAAAAAGCAGTTACAAGGAAAATTCAAATTGCCATCTGCATATTCCCATTGCCAACTTTTAACAGATGAGCCCAAAGTAAAATTATATATCCTCTAATAGTGCAGCTCCCTGCACCTTCCGCTGTCTCGGGCCCAAAGTTGCTATTTCCTTAGTAGTGCTTCTTCAGTTATGTTTTTTTTTTCCCTTGGATATTCTCTAACCTACATCTATGAAATGATCCTTAGAAAAAAATCCCAACAAACTCACCAATTTTATCTGGAAACGGTTTGTTTTGCATGTCTAGCTTAGAACTTGGTCACACCAGCGTTTGTCCCAGCACTGCTGAGAGGCAGCAGCCTTCAACCATGGATGCTTGGGAACAGAGGGAATATTTAAACTGGATCTGCTGTTGATAGACTAGTTGATGTGGAATCACAATCATGGTCAGCCCTTATGACCCTGCTGTTAATCCTGCTAACTCATATAAAGCCAGCTCAGTAATTCCTACATTGCACTGAACTGCACCATGAACATTTACACTAGAAGAAGGACAAAAACTTGGTTGACTATGTTTATATTACCTAGGTGCCTAATAGACAGAACAAAGAAAAATGTGACATTCCATGCACTATAATCCTCATTAGAAGCAGTGCTAGAATGTTTATGGTGATAGCTGATAAATGTCTGCAGAAACATTTGCCTGGAACTAAAATACAAAAATCATACATCTTTAAGAAGATGCAAGATTTAATTGACTTGTTCAGTACCTCAGAAAGAATCCCATAGTAACTTAAAGAATGCAGAAGTTTGTGACTTGGTTTGTCTGCTTAGGTTTTGTCTCTTGAACTTCTCACCATGAGTCATATATAAATCACACACACACATATATATACATAATTAAATCTTGAAACATAATACTAATTTAGTTGGTAAATAGAGCACACTAAGAAGGAAAAATGGTCCTAAAATAACAAATATTTTTCCTCTCCTTTATTTCGCTAGTGCTGTTGCTGAGGCTGAAGGAATTGAGCCATTAGTGAATACCTTGAGTGCTCAGAGAGATGGAGCCATTGCCAATGCTATTACAGTGCTGACAAATCTGGCCATGCAAGAGTCGTCCCGTGTCAGTATCCAGAGCCACGGTATCATGAGTGCCCTTATGGAACCACTGCACTCCACCAACAGCCAAGTGCAGAGCAAAGCAGCATTCGCTGTGGCTGCGTTTGGTTGTGATGCTGTTGCAAGAACTGAGGTAAAACTGCTCTTTGAGGTTGTGATTACTGATAACGTTTCTGGATTGTGAGGCCGGAGTTAAATTAACCTGGAATCTTTTGTGCCTCTCCTAGAAGTCCTGAGCTTTCTAGATAGTGACTTATTTTTTATATTTGTCATAGGCTTGTTCTGCTGAGTTTAGCTCAGTTTTTCATGAGGTTTTGGAGAGGGTTTTCTTTTAATTTGTATTTTTACTGCTGTGTTTGCTTGCACCACATTACTGCTTTGCAGCTTTTCATTGGCTTCCATGAGCTTTAGTCAGGGCTACATCTTGATCCCCATGTTAAGGAGCATTAAAGGTTTCTTTCAGCTGAACTTTGGACATGGGAAGTTCAGTCCTCTTTACTCTCCCTCAGTGTTCATTGCCCACTTTCAAGGCCTGAACGGCAGTATCTGACCTTGATTAAGGAAATATTGGATGTGCACTGAGTAAATGCAATTCAGACAAAACTCATAATTAATCCCTTGATCAGTGACATCCATCAAGTTGAACTCTTTGCTGTTTATTAATTGGTCATAGTATTTTTATAAATAAGAATGATGCTATGTCCATTCATAAATCATGAGATGGGGTTTTCTCACGGGTCAAGTTTGTTAATTAGGATACGAATAAGGGGCATAGATAATTAATCTGCCTCTTTCAGTGTCCTTAAAATGTCTTTCTCTTCGAAAATCCAAATGAGCAATATTTCCTCCAGCATGTATAGGAAAGATACTGTAGCACACAAGAGAGTAGGATGTTAATAAGATTGTCATGCATACAATACAGATTCAAATGTACTGTGATGTAAATTAGTTGCTGGGAGGCAACAGAACACAGAAAAAGCTGTGCAACTCTCTGTGGCAGTTTTGGGTTGCATAGTCTCTTCAGGTTCCACACGGCAGCCTAATAACTGAAGAGTAAGGCAGAGCCAGAAGGGATGTCTGTCTTGTACTACTCTGAAGCTCTCTCAGCTCCAGCCTGTGCAGTTCATGGGAACACAGAATACCCAAGAATGACCTTTCTACCAGCGCAGCACTGGTTGTCTACCAGGCTCGAATGTTTTGGAAGGGGAATTCACAGGCTGTTCTTGTTTGGATAGATGAAAGATGTAAGTGGCAATGTCTTTACTTTTTCACAGTTAAGAAATGCAGGTGGACTGGGACCACTCGTTGAACTGCTGCATTCTAAGAATGACGAAGTCAGAAGAAATGCCTGTTGGGCTGTTACGGTCTGTGCAAGTGATGAACCAACTGCTGTCGAACTGTGCAGGCTAGGGTGAGTGGAAGTAGGAAATTTTTGATGTGAATACTCAATTAAAGTCAATCTTTTTATATCTATAAGCAGAATAACAAAGCTTTTTGGTAAGCAGAAACTACTTTTGCACCACAGATGTTACAAATGAAATGGTATTGATTTTTAGGAACAGAGGTTTTCAGACAAAATATAAGCCTGTAGAGAGAACTGTCTGGAATTATAAAGCATTTATTGTTTCTGTGACTGAATTAGGCTTTAGATTGAAGATTGCTTATATCAGTCAAAATTAGGAACTACAGTGCCCCATACATTTCAAACCGAAATAAAGGTTTCAGACTAAGTTTAATATACAGTAAATTGTACTTATTATACACAGACTAGATTTGATTTACAATCTCTGGTTAACTGCAGGTGTCCTGAAGTGTCACATAAAAGTGACTCTATTTTATTTCTTCTTAGAAGCTCCCAGTTCCATATATTAATATCTGAATTACAAAAACTGGTTTAGGTTATAAGAATTATGACACAGGACTCCTCAGACAGGGTGACTTTTAGTTACTGTTAAATTAAAATATATGTAATTGCCCTGCTCCCTCTGCTGGGCACTTCTCTGATGACTGCATGGATACTTAAAATCCCTCTGTGAGGGAATCCTGCAAAGTGAGACTCTCAAAATTTAGATCAAGATGGGACCTCAAAGGTGATGTTATCCATCTATCTACTGTAAGGCTGATTAAGGTACCCTGAAGTTTTGGTTTGTTTGGTGTAAATACTGATTTTGATGGGGTTTTCACAGCTTTCTGAGGTAACCTGTTCCAGTGGTAGAGTATCCTTACAATTAGAAGGGATTTCTGAGTTTTAAATATCCCTTATATCAAATCAATCCAACTACGTTGTCCTACTTGCAGTGGGATTGAATAACCACTTTTTTATAGCAATTTAACTTACTGAATTTTCTCATTTTCCACATTCTTCTCTCAGTTTCTTTTTCATGACAAAATAAAAATGTTAAACCAATTTTGTTTTGAAATCTTGTATCATTTTATCACACATCTCTGAATTTCTCTTCTTTATTTACACCATTTTGAAGTGCCATCTCCCACGCTGGATGAGGTACGTCAGATGAGGTCATGCCACCATCAAATAAAGCTCAGTAATTATTTTCTTTATCTTGCATATGGCACTGTTCTTGTTTAATCTCTTCTTTGTGACAGTATCAAAGTAGGACTCTAATTGATGTGTCCTTCCAGTTTGACAGGATATTATTGATAATAATACATTAAGCATAGTTTTTCAACTAGTCAGGCACTACTTCATGTTATTTTCATATACATCACATTTCCTTGAGTTGCTCACAAGCATTCAAGTAGGAATATGTGAAAAGACTAATTAAAGTCAAAACATATCTCAAAGTCAACTCATATCTCACATCTACTTCTTCTGCCTATACATCAAGTCACTCACCCTATCACAGCAAGGATTACATTCACTTTACAAGATTTACTCTTGACAAATACATAATGGCTATTTCTCATCTCTTGTTGCTTGCAAACTGATTGTTTAATAATTTGATATGGTGTTCTCTGGACGCTGAAATTTGGCAGCACAATATCTATTATGATTTCCTTGTTCTTAGTTTTTCAAATCTAGGTAGTATCTTTGCCCTTCTCCACCTTCCAGGCATCTATACAAATACAATTATAAATAGTTATGATGTCGCTTTTGCAAATTCATAGAGTGGCATGAGGTAAGTGTCCTCAGGGACTGCTAACTTGGTCTCCTCAAACTTACTCTAGACATGTTAAGATTGCTGTTTCTACCTCCTTGTTAATATTACTGCCAGGCATCAGCCTGAAACCTTTTTATGAAAACTGAAGCAAAAAAGGCATCAGACACTTCAGTATTTTCTGTGCCATCTGCTATGAGTTTTCTTCCCACATTGAGTAATAGGCCTACGTCTTCCTCTCTGACTCACAGCATATGAAACATTTATTTTTGTTTCAGTGCCGGAATAGTTGTGTCTCACTTTGCCTGTGCATCCTTTGGGTTTGTCCCTTACTTTCTCTATTCTGTTGGTAGTGTTTCCATTTCTGTTTGAATCTTTTTTTTGGGGGGAGGGGGGTTGGCTCTTCACAGAATTTTTGGTGCAACTTGTATTTGTCCGGTATTAGCTTGTGCCATTGTGCCTCTAATGTCATCTGGTTTAGACACTGTTGAACACGTTAGCCTTTCTTTATTCATTTCCCCTTTAAAATTCTTCCCTGCATTATTTGCTGCTTATCTGCAATATGCTGTAGACAAATAGCCTGAACTGCTCCTCCACTATCTTCTCCCATTGCTCGCTTCTGTAAGAGAAGGCTGTCATTTGCCTTGCCTGAAAAACTTGTTCTCTGGAACTTGTCTGATGTACCTTCAAAGTCTGCATTGTAAATGTCCACAGCTGAGCTCCCTGTGTAGTTCACAGAGAGAAATGGGCAGTCTAAACACGGAGATCATTATATACATATATAATATGTGTGTGTGTGTGTATATGAAGTTTATTCCTTGAGATGTGAAGAATGTCTGCATGTGTGCATAAAAACACACACATAAATTTGAATGTTTGCCCACAAATATATTACCATTTTTCCTGCCTTTTTTTTTCATTTGTAAACAGTTCTAAAACTGCAGTATGCTGTATTCTCCTGATTCAGTTTCCTTTACCTTCTTAGTGAGCTTTTCCTAAGTTTTTCACGTCAGAAGTTATCAGTATGTGGGTTTCAGCACCAGAAACAGATGAAGAAATTAATTCCTGTCCTCTCATGTCCTCACATTACTATTTGTTTCTGTCTCCATGCTGCAAAAATCCTGCCATTCTGGAGGTGCTCAGACAACTGCTTGTGTTTCTGTGCTCATTCATGTTTAGCAAATATCTGCCAACTGTGCCTCCCCCAAGCACAGTAACAGTCCTGGGCCAGAAGGACTCACACATCACATAATGCACAACTGGAATGTGCAAATGGCATCATTGCAGCTGGGGAGAGAGAGAGGGAGACGTTCCCTCAACTGTGTCATATGGTCAGCTCTGAACATTGTCCCTTTTACATCTTTTTTTTTCCTCAAGTCCTCCGTGATGCTGAACATCCTTCTGCTAAAAGGTTGTGGCATCGTGTCTGTGTTACTTTATGTAGCATTTAACTACCTAAAGAATTGCTTTTGCTTTTGAGCATTGCAGCCTTGCTGACCCAGAGGGCACAGGGCTAGCACTTGGAAGTGAATTTGTCTGGGCCTTGGTAACGCTGAAAACTAACTCTGAACTGTATAATAACACTTAATTAGTATTTAACAATGAATTAGCCACTGTGTTTTATTTACCAGTGCTTTTGTATTTATCAGTGCTTTAGACATCCTAGAAGAAATTAATCTGTCGACAAAGCGTAAAAATAAGTTTAGTGAAGCTGCTCTGGAAAAGCTACTTGATAACAATCTTTCCCAAAAGTACAGCCGGTTGGGATATTTATCATCAAGTAATATCATTACTAATGGATTCTATGACTGTGGTCAGGTAAGCTGTTCTAACTAGCTACTCTTACTTAGAAAGACTAAAATTTTTCTTCAAATTTAGAAAGAGTACTGAAGCAAAAACCAGAATCTGGCTACAGAAAATACTTTGGTTTCATGTCCTGAAGCTTCACAGCTGTTACACAGATCTCTTTTGATTATCTTTCTTCATGGATGAAATCTCACCATCTTCATGCTACCCCTTAGTTGTGATTTTCTTCCCAATCCTATATGAGCTGTACAGACCTACCTTCCTCTCCAGATCCTTTCTCAAACTTTAGGTCTTCTGGTCTCTGTCCCTGCAGTGCACTTAATACTAACTTGACACTGAGTGACCTATGGGCATTTTGTTTGTTCATTTTTATATAAAGAAGTAATATTTTCACCTGAGTCATGACCCTTTCTCTCACACAGAAGTGTTTGTAAAGATGATACTGACTCCAGTATCACTTGTTAGTTTAAACCAGAGAAGGACTTATTTTAAAATACTCAAATGAATTAGAAATACCAGTCTTACTGACAATCAGTGAAATACCTGCTCCTAAAGCACTTGGTTGCTTTTGAAAATTCCATCCTGTATTGTAAAGCCTTCAAAGGCAGGAATATTTACTTACTATGTTTGGAATGCCTTAAAAACTACAGGTTAAATTATTTATAAACAACATTTTTCTAATAAAAATTAATGAAGAAAATGCAAATTAAGAAAAAAATCACATATTTTTAATAGCTTTGTCTTATGGAGTCTCTGGTTTAAGATTAGGAATTCTAAATTACTCTTTTAAATACATTTTTTTCTCTGCATCTTTAACCGAACAAAACACCTTATATTTTATGCTAATTTTCTTTTAGATAAAACCTGGAGCAAAATTTTTATCTTTGGAAGAACTAAGCATGCAAGAGCTTACTGACCGTCGGGCAATAATCTTCATTAATGCAAAACCCCAAGAAGAGTGAGTCGTGTTAGATCTACTAGCATTTATTGCAATAGCTCATCTTTTTAATAATATTCACTGTTTCCAGAACAAACTTCATTTTTTATATATATATATATATATATACATGCATGTATATATCCACACACATATACAGACACATCTATTTTAATGCCAGTACAGTGCTTTATGTCCTAGAAGGCAAAAGATTCGCATTTTATAAAATAAGAACTTGGAAAATAACTTTTTTCCTCTTTCTAGAGAGACAGACAAATGCATGGAAGTTTAAGCACATCATCCCAACAGACAGGACAAAGCCAAGTATGAAGCTCTCAGGCTTGATGAAGAACCTGTGTCCATTTCTTCTCCGTTTAAGTTAAAGCCAGCCTAACAAATCTTCTTAGATTTGAGTGCAGGAAGTTGGTATTGGGCTTGTTTAACTGGGAGCCATTTCCTGTAAACAGTCTCACAGATCAAAGATTGCTCTACCAATATTTTGCAAGTCCAAAACCTTCTTTTCTGTCAACACATCACATATTTGGTTTACAGTATCATTAGCTTCCCTTTTAAGCTTGTATATGACACCATAAAGATGTCTGGGAATATCTATGACAAATTAGACTTCCATGCTCTTTGTTGATCCCTAGAGTTGTCTTTAACTATCAGGTTTTCTTTCTTTGGCTTTGATACAGCTTCTTGCTCTTGCACTTTGGCAGCAGTCTTACTCCCCAGTTACTTTTGAGTCCATAATTTGGTATTCCATACTTCATTTTTGATCCCTGAATCAATATCTGGTTTATTAGTGGTCATGTTATTTCTTCCACTTACATATCACAATATATTTACTGTCCTTTAAAATCAGAACTCCATTTTCATAGCTTCACATGCAAATAACGTGCAAAAATATCTTGTTCTGTTTCAGTCTTGCAGTAGAGAAGGCACAAGATTCACCACCTCCCACTTCAAAACTAGGTAGTAAAGAAAAAGCAAGGTAGGGTTTTCAGATTTACTGGTTGTCAATGTTCTGTTATTGCTCTAACATTAGAAATAGAATTCTGACTGAAAATAGTGTTTCTGAACACTTAAATACAATGTTAAATGTTCTTGGAGTCTTGCTTTCACCTCCTATTTGCACTAATACTCTTTTGTCTATCTTAGTGATTATTTCTCCTCCCTTCCCAAGCTGTAGTTGAACAGCTCATATTTATTTGCTTTTTCCCTTTCATTATCCCTGGGAGACAGGGAAATGCTGTTATTTTGCAACTGGACCACCAAAACACAGGGAAATTAGGGTAGAAGTTCTTTCTGAGTTTAGAACTTAGACCCATGAAATGTTCCTACACTGCCTACATGCATCCTTATTTGTAGATTAAATTTCTTCCAGTGAAATTCCATAGATGACCAGAAGCTGTGTGTGCTCAGAACTAGAAAGGTGTGCTCAGAACTGTCCTGATTTGGATGGCAACTAGCCTAAAAATGCTTTGCTCTCGCAAGGCTTGTCCTGATCCATATGATACACGAGGTACAGTGCTGCAGTCTGTCTGCCCATACCAAGTAGGCTGAAACCTCTACCCGTGTAGTGGAAAATAATTGCATTCTTTTACAGAAAGAGGATTTGAGTCTGTCCCTCAGCAGACAGCTGACCACAAGATATTTGGGGTTTAGCAGTCTCTTTCTGGTTTGTTGTAGCTGATCACTGACAATGATGTGTAATGAACAGGGCTTCCTGCTTCAGCTCTTGGGGTACTTACCTGACAGAGCCAAGCCCAAATCTCTAGTCCTTGTCTAGTATAAAATACTAACCTGTAGTTTGTTCCTGTGGAACAAAACTGAGCCATGGTTTCCCAACTGTCCTGCCTTTTGGACAGGACAGCACAATCATGACCACAACAGTGCCTTTTGGAGAAGCCAAGCATACATGCCCAATTCCAGGGCAGTGTCCAGAATTCCAAACCCAGTCCGGTTAGAGCCTCCTTGCCATTAATGGGATGGTCTCTAGTCCTTGACAGGAATGTGAGATAACCTACAACTCTCCTTGGCTTTTCTGTTAGCTACCTTCGTGAGCTGACCATTTATCATGCTGGTTTCTGTGGGTCCCATTCCTGACTTCCTAATTTTCCTTTCTTATGGTATAGGGAGCCTTGGTAATGGCTCAGGGCTGTGAGTTCTAGTCAGTGGTGGACATTATAAACTGCTAAGTGCTGCAGGGTTGAAAAAAAAAGCAGAAATAGTGCCTCTGTTGTAGGAGCTGAAGTACTGTGTTTCCAATTTTTAGCTTGAAGCTCATCCATTAACTGTGATACACCACTGTCCATAAAGACATTTTATTGACAGAGATAATGGCTGATTTCTTACACTGCTTATATATTTCTGTGTATGTATGTATCTGTGCTTGAGAGAAATCTGCAGTAAGAAAGTCGAGAAAACTGAAACTATGTATCTCCAGTGGAGGAAAAGGAGTTACCTGGACAATGGTGTTCACTTAGCAAAAGCAGCAGTAGGGAAAAAGGCTTAAGGATATTACACTTTGAATTTTATTTGAATATATTTGAATTATATAAATTTTTTTAGAACTGACATGCAAACTGTTGACAGATAATAGCTACTGACTGTGAAGGGTTGAGGTTCTGACTTAAATCAGAATCCAAATTGTGAGATTAGTCTATCCAAAAGTTATTGATTTAAAAGGCAGACATTCCCATTTGACTTGTTATTTGGATTGCCAGCACTTCTGAAATTCAGTCATTTCATAGTAGATACCTGAAACAGATGACACGAATTGCATGTGGAAGGTTCCTGTTTCAGGATGCACGAGAGCAGATTCTGCAGTGTGAGTGTCTCACAAGGCCTGCCCTACCTTCTGCTCACTGAGCGGGTCCTCCTGGTTCCGCTCGTGCTCTGGTCATGACCCACCATGGCGTATATGCCACTTTACTGAAGGGAGCAGAGGCAAGGGGAGATGTGGAGCCCCAGCTGTGTTTGCTCTGCACCGGTGGCGGGTTCCTTTATCTCAGAACACGCTCAAGAGTCACAGGCCACTTAGCACAGTCTCGGGAGCTGAGAGACCTGTTCTGACAAGACATTTGTTTATTACAGTGTGAGATGAGGATACACTTGGATAGTTGCTTTTTAAATGTAATTTATGTCAATTACAGAGTAAATGACTGCTCTGTTAGCAACCATAACTCTTTCAAAAAGCAAAAAAATTTCTTTAGGAAGAAACAAATACCTGGCTCAATTTCCCATAGTAACTTGTAGTTACTATGTAACATAGTAAACCTTGCAGGGATACAAAGACTTCTTTCTTCAAGTATGAAATAATTGCTTTTGAATGTCATGATCAAGCTGTATGATTTATAACCCCATTGTCATTCATTTTGAATCCATAATTCATACATCATTATTAATTTGTGAGATATATGGGAGTTACTTGAAGGTCAGTAGCTGACTCCAAGTCTCAAACACACTTAGACTTTTTTCTACATATTTTTTCCTTTGATCATATGTTTCTGTTCATCATTATTTTGCAAAGTAATACTGTTTAAAGCCATTGTTTTGAAAAAGTGATACTACTTTATATAAACCATAGTTGAAAGCTCAGAGAAAGAGTAGTTGTAATTGTCTGCCAGCAGTGTTTGAATCAGATGTAGAGGAAGTGGCTAGTTGATAGTTTGACATTTATTTGCATTGACAGCAGCATTTTTAATCAAACAGTTGCATATCTGATATACACACTGACCGGGCTAAAACATTGTATTTAATGTAGACTAATAAATGTGTATTTATTCCATGCGACGTTCCAGTACAGCATTTAAGGAACTACTGCCCAATGCTCATTTAAGCCTTTTCTAAAGAGTATCAGGTATTAAGCTTTGTAAAATAGGAAAGAAAATAGGTGTCATGGCTGTCTTTTGATGGTAGGATATTGTCTTGGCTGCCTTCTTCCTCACCATGATGCTCTGGTGACCCCCTGGACTTCTGTACTGAAGCTGCAGCAGGACTCAGAAACAGCTTGAAGCTATTAAGTGCCATGAGCTCTCCTTTGCAATATTCCTCTGCATTCACAGCAAGTAGTGTCACAAGCAGGAAAAACAGCTTTGGGAAATGGGAGTGATTTTTTTTTCCTGATATCACAATTCCCACTATTAAAAAAAAAAAGGGGATTAAAAAAAAAAGAGTACAGGAAAAAAGACAGTAGAAGTCTGCTGTAATGCTTACTGGTAATTTTATTGCTGTATAAAATAACAAGAGCTCCACAGTTCCTTATGGGGTAAGTATTAGGCAGATACGATGAACTGAGCAGCTGAGGAGTAAGGTAGAGACAGGTGTGGAAGACAGCCTTAAAGCAGCTATTCCACCAAGGAACAGAACATAGTCCTACCTGAGAGAAATAAGCAGCAGCAAAAACCTCAAACAAATCACTGTTCAAACCCATCTCTCTCAGGTGTTTTCTTCCTGAAAACTGGGAAGGAGGAGAATTAGTGATCTGAGAGTCGTTTGATTAAATAGGAATAAGGAACAAACTGTCCTGCTACAGCACTGTAATGTAATGGTGCACTTCTTATAGGGAAAGAAAGTACTGGGAGAAGGGAAGAACGGGAAAGAGAGAAAATGGTTAAGAAACAAGAATTATAGCATTTGCAGAAGTTGTTCTTTTGAAAACCTGCTAAGTTAGACACCAGAGAGTTTGGAATAATTAATTTTTTTAACCAGGGCATTTTTAACCATAGCGTATAAGCAGATAAATGGATAAGTAGGAGGCTGTTTAATGTAGCATTATAAGGTTCCCTGGCTATAGTTAGAAAGAGTCAAATTAGATAAAGAAAACTGGTTTTTTCAAGTATACATGTAGTTAATAATCAGATCAGTTTATTTAAGAGGGTGGTAAATTTTCTATAATTTTCAGATTAAATCTTAATTGGTTATCCTTCTAAAATAATACACTTTATGACATCTATGAAAAGGGCTTTTTGAGAATAAGGTAAATCTCAATGAGTTAAAGAAAAGTTTGCAAAGTATTCTGGAGACAAATTGCTTGAATTCAGCTACTTATAATGATGTACAACCCTTCTGCTTTGCCCAGTGCCTTCCATCTTAAGAGTGCTGTTTCACTATAAAAATTTAAGAATAATTTGAAGACCATACAATAATAATAGTGTGTCCTGGAGCCGTGTACTCTAGTGGTTCTCTATTTCTTTTTTCTTTTTCCTTCCAAGACCACCAGAAATACTGTAGATTTTAAAAAATAAGTCAGAACTGTTAAATGAAGGAAAGAAATTTGTCATATTTCACAGTAGAATTATTCAGGATTTATGCTGAAAAAGACATAATGCTTACAAAACATTAGTTTCTTGTGTTCCCACAAATGAAAAATCCTGAACTGTCTGATGGTATAGACCTTAATGATACCTCTGGTAAGATACTGGTTTTTTATAGTTGCTGCATTACTTGTGAAATGCACAATATTCAATCTGAGTAGAACAATCATTTTATTTCTACTTCTGCCGGGTGCTTGTGATGCCTGTTCAGGATCACAGTCATTTTTCAGATCCCAAGCTTTAGTGAACTGTGAAGCAAGAGCAGTGAAAAAGAGTCAACAAAACCACAGACTTCCTGTAAAATCTTCCTCTGACAAGTCATGTTGCAGTTTACATAACACTTGAAGAACCTGGACTTGCAAGTACAGAGATTGTCTCTTGGAATGTCCTGTCAAGATTTCAGCCATGCTCTTGATACCATTTGTTCCTTTATCTGAAGTCCAGACTTTTATCAAGTAAAAAGTCGCTGGAGTTCATGATTTTTAGTTCATATCCAAATGGAACCAAACCATAACTGTCTAAAGATCTTTCCTCTCTGTAGCAGGTGTCTCCTCCCTTAGACAACCCACATATGGGAAAGACGTACCAGAGCCACTGACAAAAATAAAATCACCATTTACAACAATGTTCGTGTAGAGATGGTGACACTTGGTTCCTAAACATCTCCTGCGGGAGTGTTCCACAAGTGTTCTCTACAGCTTTATAAATTTTGGATATTCCTTGTTAAGAGAAAAGATTTCTCCTACTTTCCATCCCTCCCTAATCAATTTGTGTAAATGTCCTGGTGGAGAACTACTGTATTTGAATTTGAGCTCCAGAGATTACAGTATTCTAAATAAATGTAATTTTCTTTTCTATGTAAGAAAAGGGAAGGGGAAAAAAGAAGAGGAAAAAGCAAAAGAAGTTATTGATATTACACCTAAAGACCAGGAAGAAATAAATCTAGAAAATTCACTTTGGTTACCACCATCTGACGTAATTTTAATGGATTACATTAATGATGCTTCCAAAACAATTCTGCCGCTAACTACAACCCGGGAACAGGTTGTGGCCCTTGCACAGTAAGTACCAAATTATATTCCAAAAGTTGAATCCGTAAAGTAACTGTTTTCTTATCCAAGAAGAACTTTTCCAAATTCGTTATTTTTCCTGTTCTTAACTGGAATCCAAATCAGCTATGTTCCAGTATGCTGACAGGATTTTTGATTTTCAGCTTCTTGTTCTAATTCTGTTGCTTTAGCTTAATATTTTTAAAATAAAGTATCACTTGCAACAAAAGGATGTAAATTTTTCATTTTGAAAATATTCATATGGGCAATTTTAGGGCTTTTTTTTCACATGTATATGAAACTGTACTGATCCTTTCCAATGAACACATCAGCTCCCTATAGCATCTGTATCATCAAGGAGCTCCAGAGACCCAGGTGCTGCAAAGCCTAAAAACACAAGCTAGAACCCCAACCTAACAGTCAAGATGGTTGCACCTTCTTTCTCTTACCATGTTTTTTACCTACTTGGTTTGGAAGCCCTTCGGGACAGGAACTCTCTTGTATTTTGTTTTCCTTTAGAGCCAAAAGCATGAGACATGTTTTCTAATGCAGTTTTTGGGTCCTGTTGTAATTAATATCCTGATGATTTAATAGTGCCAGAATATTGCAATGGTGCATGTACAGACTGTTGTTATCAATGTGTGATTCATTAGTTACACTGACTATTCAGCCTGGGCACCAATCACTGTCAGCTCCAAGCAGTGTGTCTGCTTTCATCTTCTCCTTAGTTTAACCTTTATTATCTTAGCAGTTTCCTGGCTGCCTCCTGAATCTGGAGAGTTTGGTGTCAGATCCCACTGAGTCTCACAAAATTTGTTACTTTCACTGCCTCTCATTTTTAATGAAGTGGTCTAATGTGATATGAGGAATGACTTTTCTGTTGATTGCAGAATTTGAAAGGACAGATATTCATCCTTAACTATCCAGCTGTGTATAAATCATTCTGCCTTCCTCAAGGTGGAATCCATAAAATGCTCTTATAAATTCAGTCTTCTAAACAGTGAAATACTTGCAGACACACAGCCCAATGAAACAATCACAGGAACTTTAAGTAGAATGTTTTTACTGGGGATTTTTCTGTGCGTGTTCCATTTTAAGTGGCTGCTTAAATAGCGTGTGTTCAACAGGGAGGGGAGGAAAAGGCAGCTGCTGCATCCCTCGGCAGCCTGGCAGCCTGGGAAGAGTTCCTGCTCTGCTCACCAGAGAGGGGGTCGGGCTGGATGAGGGAGCACCAGTGGTGCTGGATGTGTCCTTTGGAACAAGCCCAGCGCACCTCTGAGTGCACACGTGTGAGCACGGCAGCTCGGGCAGCTTGGCTGTGTTCAGAGAGGGCTGGCCGTGGGCACACACAGCACAAGGGACTGCCTGGAGCCCCCCCAGGCTTCACCCAGTAATTCCCAGCTTCAAGATAGCACGTCCAGCCTGCTCGGTGACAGCTCCCTGTGCCTGTGCTGTTGGAACCAGCACTTCCTCAGCCCTCGTTTTGAGCAATGAGGCCTCGGAGGTTGCCTTGCTTGTGCTGTGCTGACAGAACCTGGTCACAGTTTCTGCAGAGGAGGGGATGCAGATTTCAGCTCCCTGTCTGAAGCAATGGCTTGTGATTTCCATCTCAGTTCTGCAACATCTTGTCAAGGGTAAGAGCTCCTCAATAACCCTTGTGCCTGTAGCTGGAGACACTGCAGGGAAAAAATGTCTGTCTATATAGGGACCATGCTTAGGGAGGTGAAGATGTGTGTATGAGGAAGTGGGGACTTACAAATCAGGGCCTGGCCTTGTGTGCATGCACTCACCCAAAAGACATTCTTTTGGCAGAGTTCGCACAAACTGTGAGTTCTGATCTGTTTCTGTGACTGAGCCTTTTGTTCTAATGGATACACGCTTACCTCTCACCACCAAAATACAGGCTTCAATGTAAGAAAGCACAGGCAGAAGTACCTTCAAGGAATAGTTGCTTTTCTGTATTGGGATCATTACCTGTGGCTTTATTTTTGTCATATATATTCTCATGGTTTTATTATGATTTCAAACAAATTTAATATGTAGCTCACCTAATCTGTTATCTGAAAGATGAACACTAGCTTCTGTAATTACTTCCTCAGTAACTGATGATTTTCTCTGAGCACTCTGTGCCTTTACTAGACTTCTCCAGAATCTCTGCTGGCAGTTTTTGCACCTTGTTTTAGGTCTGGGACAAATAAGAATGACCTGAGTTATCATTATCTATATTCATCAGTAAGCATATTTAAATGCCAATTACTGAATTAAAAACATTAAGCAAACATAGAAAAAGTATTAGTCTCATATTTCATTCACTTACTGCTTGTATACATTTCATTTTGCTACATTTTTGTGATAAACACAAGAGGAACTATAATTGATCCCAGTATGCATTTGGAACAGGTTTGTTGCAGACAGGATGGGTGGCTCTATTGAAAGAGACAAACTACATGACTTCAGCTGGGAACTTCACATAAGTGAAATAGAATTTGAACTGAAATGCAACATTGTGCCCATCGGGAAGATCAAAAAAGGGACATTCTATCACAGGGCTTTACTTTTCAAGGTATATTAACATTTATTTTGCAACATAACATATTGATTTTAAATGGATATTCAAAACTTTACTTGCATCAGTATACCGTATTTTTATTCATGTAAAATCTTTTGTATACGCTTCAGTAATTTTTCACCAGCAAAGCTGATTTCCCAGTGAATGAAAGCCAGCATCGCCTCTTTCTGTAAGCATTCTTGTTGTCATTAAATTGTCTTAAGTGATATGAGCAGAATACTTGGTAAATGGCAAAAAGCCAAAATATTTGATTTGGAGTCAAAACATTTTACATTTTCTGTAAACTGTAGAATATTGAATTATGCAGCTTCCTTCTTTTTCCATGCTGCAAATATAAACTTGTTGGGACTTTTTGTTTGGTATCTATGCAGTATTCTATGATAGTATATAACAGGTTTTATGTTCTAGTTTCTGAGAAGTTCACAAGCATTAACTTCTGGGAAGTTTTATTTCTTCTTTCTTCATGTGAAGATGTACTGGTGCTGTCTGGTTATCTGTCCCATACTTTTTCCTTAGCTGGATTTTTCTTTTTCTTGGATGGAAAGGCAAAGAGAAGCAAGGGCCCAGCACATTGTGCTGGAAGGACCTAGGAAAGAGTACACAGGAGAAAGAGCATGACCCAAAATTTATAGTATCCACGGGGAGAGAAAGTTCCCAACTTATTTATGAATGGTTTGAGGGTGTGAATTAATTCTCCGCCACTGTCCTAAGAAACCTTTCTAGGGAACAGATCATCTCTTTTAAAGCCACAGCACTCTAAACAATGGATATCCTTGTCCATTTGTAACGAGTTAAAAATCTTCTGGGACTTCATTCCCTCCCAGCAGATGCATATTGAGAAAGCAGTTTTGTAGCTGGAAACCATTATAGGTTTGTCTGTGATAGTGCAGCACAGAGGAAAGGCAGGTGTTTCATCTAGCAGGCACTTGCCTTGCATTTCATTGCTTCCCACATTACGAGGGCTGAAAAGCAAGGAGTGTGCTTTGGAGCGATGCAAGAGTCCTAAACTTACACTGATAAAAATGTTACATTTTTACACTTAATATTTCACATGACCTGTACCTGTGCAGGGGGCCTACACCTCATTGCTTGAATAGACTTCAAAATATTATTCAGAATTAAGTTTTCCAACCAGGAAAAAACCCATTGCTGGATATTGTGGGTGTTGCACTTCATTTGAGATCTGAAGGACTGGCTGATAAACAAATGTATCAGTATCTGAAAAGAGTTAAAATTAATATTTTTCATGATGTGCATTGAATATGCTCGAAGTAATATTAATAGCCTACACTTTCTAAGCAGAATGAACCATAAAGGTTTGTAAAGTCTGTTTCAAGGAAACTCTTCACTTTCAAGGTATTTGTTTTCTTTTTAAGCATCTCTGTGCCTTGCTGTATATCACAGAAGCTACATGGATGAACTGTGATTAACTACTTCTTCTTTCATTTTTAGGTCATAGCAGACAGAATTGGCATTGGCTGTAGTTTAGTTCGTGGCAACTATAACAGAGCTTGGAATGAAGTTAAATTGGTTGACGACTCTCCCAAGGGAATAGCTGGGCTTCTGCTTCCTCCTCAAGAGTATATTGTAGATCTAATGTTTGAGCCAGGCTTTTTGATAAAACAGGGAAGTGCGAAGGCAGATCAATACAAACGTATTTAATCATCTTGGCAAATTTCACCAAATAAATATTTTAAAGATGTTTGCAGTGCTGTATTTTTGAAACATAAGGGGTTTCATAGCCAACTATCAAAAATAAGCATATCTGATATGTTGTCTTAAACATTTAATTAAATGAATTTTTGGTATCCAGCTGCAATGCTTAGAAATGTTGTTAAATTCTTTTGTACTATTTTAAGACTAAACTGTAAAACTACAGATTAAAATTTGGTAATCAGTATTTGTTATGTGCTAACATTAAAATGCTTATTAAATAGGATTAGATTATTTCCAATACAGTATTTTTTTCCTTGTTTTCCTTCTACTCCTGTGCACATTTATAGGAACTACTTGTCCATGAAGCAAGAAAATATGACATCTGGTGAAATAACAAGTCACCTAAAAACAACTGGACAATTTTTGTGTGAAATAACCCAAGAACTGAGAATTAGAACAAAGATAATGGTATACTTTCAACCTCTGTAGAAAACATCCCATTTATATTTTTTAGAACTTGGCAGAGTTAATATTTACAGATAATAAGGTACTCTGGATGAAAGTAAATACTGTTCGTTCTGGCACAGGGAAGACAGATGATTGATAAGTTAATGCTTGTGATCTCTGTTTAAATTCTTTATTTTTCACTTGAAGATAAAATAGACTCCAAGAAGGCAGCAGTTTTAGACAGGGAATTTGTATTTCTTGCAGCCTTGGGTAATGTGGTGTTGCTGAAGTGGGTGGTGCATCTAAGACAGGTAAAATACCAGCTACAGCCAGTAACTCCAGTAAACACTTCCTGGTGAAACTGTCAGGAATGTACTGGAGTATTTCAGGGAGCACCACTATCAATTGAGTTTACCATGGAAAACTGAGAAAATGCCCTGTATAGCAGTTAGGCCAGTGCAGACAATGTTGTACAGAACTGAATTTCAGGAGAATTTGAGAATGCAAACAACAAGGCATTTACTTCCTGTCCACCAAAAATGTGATTAAAATATTTGGTGTCTGTGTTCTTTTAGTTTTTTACTGTTTGCATAAGCAGAGCCACTTGCATTGGCCACTGTGGGTTGAGGAGGTTTGTATCTGTTGTATTCATTACTGCTTATGAGCATGATCCCACCACTCCCCCTCCTTCCTCCTCTGACGTGCAGCATGATTTCCTGGTAGCCCCTGGAGAACATTTTATCTTTCTGTTGTAAATTCACTTATATGGCTGCATGCTCATTTTTTTACCTTATGTTCAGCTGCACTCTAGACATCAGAAGGAAAAAGAACTCTGGAAATAAAATGGATGCTATGGTGGTAGAAGTGAGAGGAAGGTGAGGATGTGTTTCTTATCATTGCCATGTAGCAGGCAGGGGGCTGATAGAAGGTCATATGCTCTCCCTGACAGGTATGATTCGGTATAGACACCCACAACTTTGAAAGTGCAGTAAATTGAAGTAAAATAAGAATTAATTTCCTGCTAGCTATCATTTTGTATAGTTTTCTTACACTGGAATTTCATTATTTTGTATTGGAACCATAATGTTAAAGTGTGACTTACTGTGTTTGAGGAGGTCTTGAAAAGAGAGCAATTTCTGTTGTTTCTAATAAAAGTCAATATGGGGGGGAAAGGACAAAATGCAGTTTTTAAAAATAAAAATTGGGAAACTTCTAGACATATAAGCTCACTTTACATAAAATAATTATCTAAACAAATAAACCCAAATACTGTATCCTGCATTGTATAATGAAGAATTTGACGATCCACTGGATCCATTGGATGAGGGTTGTTTCATGTCAACCCAAAATTTTTAATTTTGTATTATCTGAGTTCTGTTACTTCAAAATTGTAATGCACTTGGGTGTCAGAAATAAGATCTAGGCAGAATATAAACACTTCAATCTCAAACTGTTACTTTGAAAACTGCACTTCAGTTGTTACGTAGGTCAAGAGATGCCACACTTTTTTATTTGATGATAACCAAAGACCTGTAGCTGTGCCCAGGGCTCTAGCGGAGAATTTCCCCAGCCTTGAGAAGCACATCCCAGCTCACACTTATTCCAGAACTGAATCTGAAAACAAAAGGTTTAAACATTTCTACAGGGCTCAGCTGGGTGAATATTCCCAGGACATGTCCAGCATACTCCATTTGGCTTGGGCCATGCCTGAGAGAATTGATCATCTTCCTCCTTTTAAGGAGCAGATGGAGAAGGGCCTCATATTTCCTTTTACATAATATTCATTGGGCAGATCAGTCACACAGAAGGAGTCGAGCTTGATGCCTTCCTAAGTGTGAACAAAACAGTCTGCAGCTACCTCACTGCAGGATCTGTTCTGGCCACTAAGCACTCTCCATCGCTTTTTGAAATCTGCTGTCACATAAGAAAAGAATGCAGGATTAATAAAAGACAGAAACAGAAAAGTTGAGTTCTCTGCAGCCTAATATTTGGAGTTAGCAATTAAATTCTTTGTTTGGGGAAAAAGAGTCTGGATCTCCAGTGCCCACTGCCAGAAATGTTCTTATAGTTAACTGAGTAGACACGTAAATTTCTACTGTAAAATGCAGAAACTCTACCTTACCTATAACAACTGCCCCCTAATTAGGGGCTCTCCTGCAAGGTGAAAAGGTGTCTCAAAGAAAGGTAGGAACTGAAACAAGGTTGATTCCTCCACAGCTGTAACCACTGGGCAGTGGCACAGAAATGGGTATCATGGCCAGCAGCTGTGCAGAACAAAAACCAAATGAGACATGCTCTGCTTCTTGAAAGAGAGGCTATGTAGATGATTATCCCAGGACAGTGATGGGAACTGTAGGTCCTGATTTAAACAAGGAACCTCTAAGTCATCCTTACTGTGATGTCTGTGCTCCTGAGAGAAGCATCAAGACACATTCCTCCTCTTCACAGGAACTACCCAACTTATCACTGACTGTGCGGAAACGATGTAGTGCCTGCTCAGCTTGCTGCTTCCTGCAGGGTCTCTTCAAAGGCATCTGGAAGTGACACACCACACATGCACACACATATCACACACACACCCTGCTGCCCCCACTATTCATTTTCATTTAAAAGAATTTTGGTTTTGATTTGTCACTGAAAAGCACAGTGTTTAATATCCAGCACATCTGCATATCAAGAAATACAAATCTGGACTGTGTTGATGAAAGGTCAGGCATGATTTCTGATGAATGTGAACCAATACAGCAGCAGACCCAACTGGTGCTGGTGTCACCGTGATTGCAAGTTGCAGTAGAGGTTTTGGTATGGGAGGGTCTGATGGTTCAACCCTGCACACCTCTGCTTTTGCTTGTTGTGTGTGTGCTGGGACCATTGTGGCTAAGGGGATCCTAAGGGGATAATTCCAGGCGTTTCAAACCAGTTTTTGTCTGAGACCTATTTCTGAGGGGTGCTTCTGGCACACACCTTGCTGCAGAAGTGGATTCTTTTATTCTTTCCCAAGCAGATGCCAAAGCGGATGAGATTGCTGGCAGCAGCAGTACCGGCACTTCCACACTTCCCTTCTGTTCCCTTGATCCCTGAGTAGTGGGAACACTGAGGTTAACTTACACTTGTTTTATCTTTATGCTAGGGAACAACTGCTGTGTAATTTATAGAACTGGGACATTTCAAATAGTTTCTGACTATCCACTGCTAAACTGCAGCAATGGCAGAACATCACTCCCCCAAACTGTGTGCTCCTGTGCATGGTAGGAATTGAACTCTTCCTCCTGTATATCTCTGTTGCTGATTAACTCTGTGTTAATTAAAGAAACAAGTGTTTCTTTTCAGATCCAAGAGGAACTGTTACTTTTCTCACCATACTTGTCTTCAGGTAAAACCAAAAATGTCTTTTATTAGTAAACGCAGATTTTGAATGGTGATATATTATTTCATCCATAGCTTCTTTGCATGAATCGGCACCTCTTCTACTACAAGATTCATTTCATGTAAATCCAGCTCACTGTCAATGCAAAGTGTCGGAATGGAGACTGTGCAGAGGGCAGTAGACATTTACTGGCCAGCGTGTCAATTAGTTAAGATAGAAAACTGCACTAAAACATTTATTATATTCATAGCTCTCTTGCTGCTTTATACAAGGATCTCATCCCCAACAACTCACTGGCAGTACCTGTTTTCCTGCAGAAGACTGAAAATAAGCCAAAAAAAATCCCCATATAATTCAAAGCCCAAAGACAGCACGTGCCATCACAGCAAAGTGGAAGAAGGAAGAATGGACACGCAGGCTCAAGCCAAGAGTCTATCCAAGCAAGTAACCCACCTCCAGCAATGGTCAGTATGGAAAAGGTAAAGAACATGGCACAAATACCTTTATACACTTCCAGAGTACTTTGCTAGGTCCAGCAGTTTGCAGCTGAGGGGCTTTCTATGTGTCTGGGTGTTTAATAGCACAGTTACACAGAGATGAAAACACACAATACAGCACCACCCACTGGTACATCCAGAACACAAACCCTCTACCACTACAGCTGTGCCAAGGCATCTCCTCCCAGGCAACTGTACCTCTTCTGAAGTGGCACACAGGGAAATGATCAAAGGACTCTGCTCCAGCACTTGCTGTGGTCTTTGCAATGCAACTATGTATATAGGACATGATTTTTTCACTCTACCAGTGCAGCTGTTACGGCAGAACTTTGCAGATAAATTAACAGCTCTTTAGCCCTCTTAATGAGCTAATTATTCTTCTATTATACAAACATTGACTCTGACACTGAAAGATAGTGGAAGTAGTGAAATAACTTTATCTGGCCTTCCTTGTCCACGATCACCCAGGCAGAATTTGGAATTCATGAACAGGAATGACACAAACACGGAGAGACATACACACATATGTGTCTTTGAGCTATAAAAATGTTACTTGTAGGACATGGAAGAAATTAGTGTATTGGAGACACAGTGAGCTAGTAAAAGCTCTTCTCTCATCAAGGAGTGAGCTTATTTGCATGCTAATGAACCAAATAGTTCTTCCACCTCATTGATGTTTCATTGACACGCTAAGATGCCATCTCTTGAAACCTGGTACAAAGCTGTAACTGAAGCCAGTTCTTGCTTGAAGTTGGATAAATGTTGGGGGAAATACAGCAAGATGAGAAGAGCAATCATATCTAAGAAGGCAGCAGGTCCTGCCATTCATGCAGCCCTTTGCCCAGGCCATACCCACCTACTCAAATGCTGTTCACAACCAGCTCTCCTCATGCTAGTCCTGCCTTGCAAGTGAGCACAGCAGAGGGTTTCTCTGACCCT